TCTGATTTATTGACTCATACTCAAAAAGAATATTAATAAGTCTAACTTGTTTCTCCGAACAAGTAATTATTGAAAGCCATTCAGTAAGGGAGAAGGACTGAAATGTTCCTTTCGAATATTCCAGGGTACTCCCCCTAGGTCTGGCTGAGATTGACTTAGTACGAAAGGCTTAGTAAGCTTTTGTATTCGCAGTTAAATTGACTTAGTACGGGTGGGTTAGTACGCTTTTGTAATCGCCGAATGAAATCCGAAACCCTAGCGATAATATTCCGTAACCTTTCCGCAAACTGACGATCAGTGAAACCATGATCCGCTCTATTGTTTCCAACTATGCCACCGAACAATAGGCATATCACTGATACGATGCGTGATTACTTCGAGGAATTACAGAGAACAATGTTAAATTCGTACTTTCAACTCTAAAAATGTAACATCGAAAAATAAAAGTAATACTGAACGATATTTTAGTTTTGACTTATTCTCACCTTTTAGCTGTCGATCTTATTAGGGTTTTTGCTTGAATGAATACAGTCCCGAAATAGTTTCCTCTTGCATGGAAAGCACGACATTGAATGATGCTAGAAACGTCATGGTGTGTCCTAGTAATGCCTTTAATAACAAATGTAACATCGGAAATTTGATGTACATTCACTGCCTTAAATGAATTTTGCAATGGTTGAAAATGACGTTTATTCTTAAAGATAAGTGAACACTCTTTTAGTATCCATTTAGAAACAAACATATATCAATTCAATTAGATTAACTAAAACATATCAAATATATTTAAACCCCAATCCGTCTGTCCTGGTGCCCGAGTCTCATTCCACTTCACTGGATAAAGATATAAAAAAGCGGTACATTTTAATAAAAAAAACCCCACACATTTAAAAGGTGTACGCGTTTGAATAAATTTGTTGTGAGATAAGATAAGTGTTGGAAAGTTCTGAAAGAAAAATACACCTAAAATGTTCCAAAGTACCCCCTCCTCCCAAATAGCGGTACACAACAAAGATTAAGTGCTAAATAAGCTCCAGCATACTCGCACATTGGGTAGCCCAGTGCACGCTCCAAGAGCATCTTGCTTAATAGTCTAAAACGAGTGTCTTTTCATTTTATCAGGATTGCAAACATTAACAAGTTGTTCGATTAATCGATGAACTTGTTAATGTGTGCAGCCCTGATAAAACTAAAATTATTCTCTTTACTTCTCGTTTCGTCAGAAATCCCATATTGCAATATTTTTCAATCTCCAAATCTACTATTCAACTTTCTGATTGTGTTTGTAATCTTGGTGTTACATTGGATAAGTATCTTGTCTTTTTCTCAGCACACTAGTAATATCTGTAGAAGGCTACCTCACATTTGCTAATATCTTTCTTCAGATAACCTTATTCAAACGTCTTGTGAGTGCTTTGGTTATATCTGATCTGGATAATAGTAATGAACTTGTCTATATGGCTTAATTCTTCACATTTTAGACCTGGAGCCTTTACGTTGCTTGAAGCCATCATAAAATTCACTTCCTAACGTTAGTTCTACCGGTTAGTTTGCTATGGATTTCTTGCTTGCTGTATTGATGATTGAATGACGTTATAAGATGGCGAATGCATCGCTTGGGTTATTGATAGGATGACGTCATACTATTAAAAGTGCCTTGGGAAATCCCCTAATCAGAACGTTCCTATTGGTTATTATAATATTCTGTCACGCTATCCCACTTGTTAAGTATGCAAATCTGATCAAGTTAACGTTTACACAAGTATTGAACTATGATGGAGACCAAAAAAACCTCCAAATGATAAATTTTGAGCTACGTTTTGCAGCTGAACACCATGGATCAAGCGTGATGATCTACACGGTTAACTTGATGGACTTACAGACTAACCACTTTTGCAACGGTACTCTTTTTACTCCTCGCATTCGATCTTCGATATGTATGTTTCTAGATATGTAAGTGATTGCATGCAATCCATGTTGAATTTCAGTGGAAAGTGTCAATTTGTGAAAATGTAAAAAATCTTTTCATTTGGATATTATTATTAATTGCTTATATTAATAGGTGTGTAGTGACTAGACTGAAATAAATCCTGCATGGATGTTGTTTTCTTCTGATTTGACTTCGACTTAATCATTCAGTTTAGACAAAAGCTTAGCACTAAAATTCTACAGTTACAATAAATGAAAGTACTACTGCTTTGCACTAAAATTACAATCTGTCAAAATGCAAATCCTTCAGACTAAAACTATCAAGATATACGCCAACTGTTAAATCTACCAAACACATCTTATATGCATCGATATCCATGAGTGACTTGAAGTGCATGCACAACCATGAACAGCTTGAGTCAACAGAATAACTTCAAAAATAATACGCAGATCCTATTCAGTAATGGTTAACTAGTGGAGTTGTTGAAGTACTCAATGGTGTTATGTGCACAGATTTCATAGTTTTGAAGACCAATCTAGAAGTAGTGTTCTGAAGTCTTTGAATTTAGAGTAGTTCATAGTTGTATAAGCATCGTCAGGAGTACGAATTTGATCCCCTCTACATCTATACTTTGTTACTTCTACAGCTAGTTGTTGCTCTAATTTCTAATGGCCGTCTTCAGTCTGTAAATAAAACAAAAGTTCAATTATGAAAATCAGAAAGTAGTATATAATTTAACAAAAATAATAATGATGATAATGATGATGATGATGATAATAATAAATTAATAAGAAAATTAATATAAACAATTTAATGGCGCTTAGTACAGTATTCATGAAATATATTATTATATTAATATGTGTAAAGAATGTGAATATAGATATTTATTAGCACAAATTAAAAATAAAATATTATAAAGTGTTCAAAATAATTGAGTCTTTACAGACCGAGGACCGCCATTAGATATTAAAGCAATAACTAGCAGTTGTAGAAATAACATATAAGATACCAGCAAGTAGAGATGTTGCTCAGAAAGATCCTTAATCCTGGCGATGCATGTACAAAAATATTAACAATACTGATGTGATATGTCAACCTAACATCCTCCTTGGGAAAAAGTGGAATAATGTATAAAGTAGATCTAACGATTGTCGTACATCTTGATAGATTTTTCCTACAGGATTTGCATTTTGATTTTTTGTAATAGTGCAAAGTAGTAGTATTTTGAGTTTTTAGTGCTCAGCTATTTTAATAGCTTTTGATATTTTAATAGTGTTACAGCTACTTTCATAATTCTGCGACCTCCGTCCTCTGAGCTACACGCTGAAATTTGGATTTTCGCTGCCGCCAGTCAAAAATATGTAAGTTACCGACGATTAGGTTTGATTGAAAGACAGCGAAAAAACACATTTCAGCGTGCAACTCAGGGCACCGAGGTCGCAGAATAATGAAAAGCGCTGTAAAACGTTCTACTATCGTAGAAAATAATCCAGTTCTTGAAGCTGCTCGTTGATCGAAGTTGTTTTTTAAGGATGCTCAAAACAATTGCATATAAATATATATTTCTTTATGTCACGCAACACGCAAGGACACAGCGTATTTTTGAAAATAATCTGAATCACTAAAACTTACATTGTAGTTCATATGAAGTCGAAGTCAAATCAGATAAAACATGATTCATGCTGTAAGTAATTAATAATAATGCACCAATGAAAATATTTCTTTTTACATTTTCGCTAATTTTGTAAAAAATGCAGGAGGATGAAAATGTATAATAACACTCACAGAGAGATTCAAAATATTGCATGACACTTTCGACTGAAATACAATATGGATTTCAATCACTTCCTTATTGAGCGTCTTGAAGTTTTAAAAAATCATCCTTGTTTTCCAGTGCCTAAAAAATCTGTCGCCTTCATTCCACCATCAAATTGGAATTTAGAAGTTGGGTAAATTCTACGCGAATGCGATAAAAGAGGACAATAGCGATGAAAAATCAAATAAACAAGGGCTAAAGAGAATCGCCGTCCCGTACAATTCTCGATGCGGATTAAAGTTTGAAAGCTTCAAAATAATTCAATGAAAATGAAATTTTGACATCTTGTTGCCTTTATATTGCAGTCAATGTTGACTAAATTTAGAAAAAAATCGTCGAGTAGATTAGAATTTACGAGCATGTTAATTAACATAACACAATAATCCAAAAATACGGCTCATAGCCAAGTTAAATCGACCTTATGTTTTGAAATATCAAATGGTACGATTTCAATACAACTTTTACCCAATATTCCAAAGTGATTTACCAACTTCTTTAGATAAAATTAGGAACTCAAAACTGAGAAAATACTGAGTTTTCCACCAAGTTACTAACATGTTTTGTTTTTGCAATTTTTTTATACTTTAAAACTTCAATATGAAATTTCTCGAAAATGCTCATACAGAATGAGATGACGTAATGACGTATACGACTTCAACATCATTCTTGACCGGTGCGTGTTCTACAACAGAATAAACCAATGGGAACATCACTTTCGGGGAGTACTGCCTATTATAATTGTAGTAACAATAATAAATATAGTTCGGCGAATATGATACGAAGACTCCCGGCGTGACCTCGGGTCGGTTGCCGAAGGAAATCCGTTGAACTGGTGTACAGTGAGCTCCCAGTACGGGTCAGAACAAGCGAGGTAGTATGTGAATACAGGCAAATTTCATGGCTTAAAGACGCGAAGACTAATCTCTAATGCGACTTTCTCGGTTCTATAGGGATGTGAGAGAAGGGTTATGACTAAAATTTGGCGCTGGAAAGAAAATTAGAAGACGTAC